AGCTTGAATGGCTTGTTTTTCTTACCCGCCAAATTTTGAATATCTCGAAACACACCAATGTTTGCAAGAAACTGGAGAGCAGAACGTTCGCGATCTAAAACTGTACTTGTTCTAGTGTTCAGTTTTGATGAAGAAGCAAAGGAAGCCCGGATTCTGAATTGCGAAGTCGTGCTCCTTTTATTTGTTCGGTGTGCATGGACGCGATGGTTCGGGTGGTGTTTCCTGATGTCGAGCTTTCTGCCCCGCCGGTTACCGTTATTGAACTCAGTTGCAATCCACTCTCTTCTTCGTACCCGGCCGCTTTCTTCATGAATTCGGTCGTGAGTGTGGTGCCTTGTCTTAGCCTCAAACCACAGCTCCAACAATCTACGCAGCAGTCTAGAGGCACAGCGGCAGAAATCCATGGTCGTCGGACAAAATCCAAATCAAACTGAATACAGTGTAGTTGGGGTAGACAGACTCACGGTCAAAACCAAAGGCACAGTGATAGCACGGTTCCACGGACACAAGAAAGAACATCAATATCAGTTCATCATGTCAACTAGCTACATGGTGTGCTCCGGAGCTCCAAGAGCACTCAAATTATTCTTTGAATTTCGGCTTTCAGCCGCTTGTACAAGCTGTGGCTGAAACAAGCCGGAAAAAAACGGCTGAGAGTCAGCCACGGCTGAAAGTCGCTTGTGGGACATTTTTCAGCCATCTCCATGGTAATAGTGACGTAAACAAGCGCTTGTTTCAGCTGAACGGCTGATTCGAGCTCGGTGTGACCGCGGCCTCACAAGGGACCGGTCCCATTGAGGGAACAATCCTCAGATTATTAACCGGCAATAAATTTCACCAATGCCACACTGGTCAGCCCCGCTCCTGGGTCAGAGCTGCATAGCACAGCCTCTAGCGTATAGCTCCAGTTCATCATGCATTAAGAATAAGGAAACTCAAAGAAATCCAGCGGAAGCCACGGATGATGATAATCTTCGGCGGAAAAGCGGGGTCTCGAGCTGATTTTCATTGCAGGGTTTAATCTCGTAAATCTCCTGTTCAACGTCAATTATACATGGTTTGTTTGTTTGTTTGTTTGTTTAGCTTTATTTTACTTCACCAGAAGCACAGGCAAAATCTGCCTTCTCACTGGGCGTATTGCCACAGTTCTCGCAAAATGATGAAGGTGGTGATATAAGAAAAGGAGGAAGAGGAAAATACAATCATGAACAAGGCACAAAGAGAAGACGGAAACAAGTCAATGAGGGAGTACTACAAGTCACGAATTGGAATTTGATGATTTTTTCATGAAAATAAGGCAACGGATGCAAAGGTTGCAGGGTTGAGGGAATGTTGACAGTTATGCGTCTTTGAGATCTTAGGAGAGGGTAAGAGAGTTTAAGATATCGATTGTAAGTGCTTTCTTAAATGCAGAAGGAATTGTGATGGAGCGGACATCAGGCGGCAGGGAGTTCCAGTACACACTACCAATGAACTGAACAGTGGATCGACCGGAAGGACCCGGCAAAAACGGGACACGAAGCAAACGTGAAGCCTGACCCCGCGTGGCACGACCATTGACTAAATCAAAGAAAGTGCTGAAAAGACTACTGATCATTTCAGCACCAAGACATCTGTGAACAAAAAATAATAATTAATATCTGAGTAAGAGTAAGAAGATCAAATCGACAGAGAAGAGGGGATGATGGGGTGGTAGAAGGCACCTGGAAAACGGCGCGAATTCCGGATTTGAAAATCTTGACCAAGCGATCCAACAACTGCACTGTGAGGCAAGGATAGAAAGCCGTAGATGCATAGCAGAGATGGCTGCTGTTGTTGTTGTTGTAGAAGTTTATTTAACGTCGCACCACAAACAGGCGATTTCGCCTCCTTTGATACATGTGGACGACAGCTGCTGATCATGCTAATGAACCACGACCACGCACGTTTGATAAACTGGCCATGCACCTCCTCGCAAAGGCCACAGATGCAGGCAAGCAGTGCGTGGCTACAACTTGGCGCGTCGACTTCGTCGGCGATCAGTACCCGGATGTCTCCATCAAGGCTGCTGAGAGAGGCCGGCGTGCATCGGGTGGCTCTGTGCGCACCAGAATTCTGCGGCCTGACCAGCCATGTCCAAGGAACTGGAAATTGTTCATGAAAAATGGTGCCAACAAGGAGGAGCTCATGCAGTTCCTCTTCAACCACTGGAGATCTGAAGAGTGCGCACAGCTGCTGCAAGGGGGATGCGTTGTCATAACAGTCCGGGACATGGCCTACCTCCTGAAGGCCAACGGTGACCACGTAGCGTATGAAGAGGTGCCAAACCTCCGGTCAACACAGGAGGAGGCCGACACGCGGATGCTGCTTCATGCCTACCATGCAAGTGCAGACTACTCGGCAGTGGTCATTCGGTCACCCGACACCGACGTCCACGTTTTGTGCATTGCTCTAGCGTCCAGTATTCCAGCCCGATTGCTGTTTGAGACTGGCAGACGGGCAGTCCCCCGCATCGTGGACATCTCTGCTGTCGCTGAAAAGCTGGGAGCACAGGTGTGTTCAGCTTTGCTTGGCCTCCATGCGGTCACTGGCTGCGACAGCACCAGCTCCTTCCACCGAATAGGAAAGAAAAAGGGGTGGAAAGTCCTTAAGAGTAAGCAAAGCCACCAGATTGCGTTAGCACACATGGGCGACAATTTCGTGCTGCCAGTCATCCTCCAGAAGGAAGTGGAGAAGTATGTCTGCCACCTTTACGGTCACCCTGAACTCGAGAGCATCAACGAGGCCAGGTACAAGGCGTTCTGCTCTCGGTCCGCACCCCCTGCTCAGCTCCCACCATGCGCCGATAGCTTGGAGCAGCACGTCAAACGGGCCAACTACCAGGCTGGTGTGTGGAAACGGGCACTGGTCGCATCCCCAGACCTACCCAGCATCAGTGATCATGGATGGAGGGTAGATGACTCTAATGCCATGATCATGTGGGGTCTTCTTCCTCCTGCACCACCAGAGCTGATGGCGATCATCCGGTGTGCCTGCCAACGCGCCGGTGCTCATGCCTACAGTCCTCCATTTCTTGCACCGATGCATGCCAATGCAGTTCCTGCGCGAATCCGCACAATGCTGTGTCCGAAGTGCTTGCAGCACCTACACTTCATGGAGACAATGAAGACAGTGCTGATGATGAAGATGGTCAAACTGATGATGTTGACAACCCCTCCCACCAGATCGCGGAATAACTGCTGAACATCAGCTTTCCATGGATTTCTGGTCACGGTAAGGCCTGTTTGATTTCCCTAAGTATGTTTCAAGTGTAAATGTTAGTCAAGTGTCAGGTAGTTACTTGTACGTTTTTCATGGCTGTGTGTTGTGCATGATTGTACACTGTTG